AGGACACGCAGCAGCAGCAGCAGCGGCAGCGCAGGGCGGCAGGAGCGGGCCTGTGGGATCAGGGCAGCCTGCACACCTGACGCTGGCTATGTTGTTCTTTTCTTTAAAAACTTTTTAAATTGCTTTCAGAGAGGAAGGGGGAGAGAGAGAGAAAACATCAATGATGAGAGAGAATCATGGATCGGCCGCCTCCTGCACGCCCCACCCTGGGGATCGAGCCCACAACCCAGGCATGTGCCCTGACCGGGAATCCAACCTGGGACCCTTCAGTTCGCAGGCTGACGCTCTATCCACTGAGCCGCACCGGCTGGGGCTGAGTTGTCTTGTTAGCATTACCTCATACCCTTACTTAGGATTTACCTTGTAGGAGGTGACAGCTGGCAATTTAACCTGCTGTTGCCGCCCGTGTGTTTAACACCCTCTATGTGCAAAGCCTTGCGCCAAACACACTGCAGAGAAACAGTGCTGGACCGCCTCCCTGGCGTTCCCCCTCCCCCATCCCCGCCCTCCCTGCAGGGCCGGACCGAGGGTGAGGCCCGCTGTCCCTGTTCCTGCGCCTCGGGCCTCCGAGGGCCGCCGGGTGGTCTCACCCCGGTCGCGGGGGAGGAGGCAGGTACAGTTTCTTCTGGCTTCTTTACACGAAGCCTGCAGATGAGAACTTTCCTTTGATGTGAAGATACCTTTTCTGATGTGGAAAGTTCTGTCCACCGTCCCCGCTCGGAGGATCAGGTGAAAGATCAGGGTGAAGCTGCCACCAGGCACGGCCCGCCCCGAGGGACCAGGCCCCGGGCCAGGGCAGGCTGGGCGAGCCAGCCGGTGGCTGTGTTGGTGACTCCTCCTGTCTGTCCCTGTCTGTTGGTCTGTCTGCTGACGACCAGCTGAGAGCTGGGGGAGGGGTCTCCTATTAGGACCAGAGGAGGGACTGGTGCCAAAGCCTCCCCAGTCACAACAGCCCCCCAAAGGATAGTCGTGGGCAGGGGCCACGGGCGCAGCCTGAGCTGGCACCTTGGAGCCTGGCCGAGGGGAGCTGCTGCGAGCAGTCTACCTGCCCCCGGGGCTCAGCCTGCGTGTCCCGCAGCCGCGCCAGGGCCAAGCCTGTGTTTAGGCGGCTCTGCCCGGTCCTTCCACGCCCCTGGGACTTGTGCAGTGACCGGCTTGGCATGACTTCGGGTTTCTGCCCCCAGAGGACTGACACAGAGGAAAACACGTCATGCAAAGAGCTTGCTCGGAAAAGTGTAAGAGCACCCTCCCTGCCCCTCCCCTCCCCGCCGCTGTAGGCGCCGCCCTCCCGCGGCCTCTGAGGCCAGAGGGCCTGCTGCCCACCCAGCAGCTGCGGGTTCGGGTTCCAGGCCAGTGGCTGCTGCTTCTTTTTAAAAATAACAGTATTATTCATTTTTCTTTTCTTTTTTTAAATCTATGTTTATTGATTTGAGAGAGGGAGAGGAGAAATAGAAACATCAAAGTTGAGAGAGAATCATGGATCACCGCCTCCTGCACGCCCCCTACTGGGGATCGAGCCCACAATCCGGGCCTGTGCCCTGATGGGGAAACAACCATGACCTCCTGGTTCCTAGGTCAACGCTCAACCACTGAGCCACACCGGCCAGTGGCTTCTTACCACCTGGAGAAAGGAGATGGGGAGAGAGGGAGGAAGCGGGGAGAGAGACTGGGGCATCCGACCTGTTAATCCTAACTGTCCTGGGGAGCCACCTGCTAATCCACGGGCCCTGCCAGGCCTGGGACTCCACTCGCCACCTCCCAGCAACCCAGGCCCAGCGGCGCTCTCACCAGCTGTGTCTGCAGAGGGGCCGGGTCGGTGATGGCAGGGCTCCTGCCCCTGGGCTGGTCCCAGGATCCCACGCTGGTGTCAGGGGCGCAGGACTGAGCACAGCCCACCTGTGGCCGTGAGCCCAGAGCCCCCTGTGCTGCGGAATCGCTCAGGGTCTGGGTGGCAGAGCTGCCTTCACAGCGACCTCCCCCCAGGGTGCTGAGCCCCCACCAGGAAGGTCTCGCTGTGTTGGCAGGACGGGCGCCACATGCGAACACTGGGCGGACTGGCTGGACAGCAGCCCTGGCACAGGCCACCTGGAACAGGACGCCTGGCCGCTGAGCTGGACGGAGGAGAGGGGCCCAGGCCCTGGGTGCAGGGACAGGCTGGCCGCCCGGTGCCGCCAGAGAGCTCACCCCGTCACGCTGCCCTGCACACACTCGCTCTGGTCGGAGGCAGGAGCAGCCCGGGGGTGTCAGGGCCTGGATGTGGCTGCTGGCACCGCAGGGCAGGGCAGGCACAGGGCCTCCTGCCGGGAGTGAGGTGGAAATGACCGCAGACTTCCCACTCGCCGTGACCGGGAGAACCACGTTCACAGCAAGTCCTGTGTCACGTCTGCGGCTGTGACGCCGGCACCTGGAGGCCCCACCAGCCCAAGCCTGGAGCAGGGACTGGGGGTCGGAATGTGCACATTTCCCACTCGGAGCAAGTGGAGGCGGAGCCTTGGGTGGACTCCGTGGGCTCCATGTGCTGTCCTGGACCTGCATTCCTCCTCCTAGGAGTGGGGGGGCCCTTTGCCGCACTCTGGTCAGGGTAAGGGATGCCCAGCTGAACCCAGGCAGGCACTGCAGGCCTGAGGTCCCCCTGATCCCAGCTCAGAGGTGCCCTCAGCCCAAGGCAGCGGACGGCTTCCCCGTCTCTGTGCGAACTGTAAGCTGAGCTCCTGGAAGCCAGTGGCATTTTAACAGCTGGGCACTGGCTGTGGCTGGCGCTGTCAGTCGGCCCCTTCTGAGGCCCACACTCCTCCTCACCGATCTGCAGCGGCTGCAGACCCACCACAGGCCCTGTCCTGACCCAGACAAGATGCCCAGGGAGGTAGCGCCAGCCACACCCCACCCTCCACCCGGAGACCTGCGGACACGAGGCTGTGCCCTGGGAGACGGACGCGAGGACAGGGACGCCGTGTGCTACGCCTGCACGAGCTCCGAGAGGCGTCCATGCCCCCACAGCCCACCTTCTCTCCAGTCAGGACCCAACCCCCATCCCGTGGTCGCGAGCAGAGGCAGGCAGTAAAATTTCAACTTTATTTGGCCAATGTGTTCAACTCCAATGTTGTGGTAGAAACGCCTGGAAGAACGGGACAGCTGATGGGCTCCGGCTTCCGCGCTGTCCCCATGGGAACGGAAGCCAGGCTCTGGGAGGTGCGGGCCAGGCCACGCTGTCAGACCAGCTGGGTGCTGCTTGGGGAGGGGGGTGTCTGTGCTGGCCCAGGGTGCCCACTGCCCTCTGTCTTGGGGAGCCCCTGCGAGAGACCTGACGTCTCCGTTGACCAGGCAGTGTGGGAACCTCACAGTCCCGGCAACACTGCCAGGTGAGTGACCGTCAGCCTGGCCCGCCGCCCCCACAGGGGACGCCTGTCTCCAGGGCGGCCCGGCCAGGGTGGGACCGAACCCGATGTCCCAAAATGCCTAAAAATCTCACAGACGATGCTAGTGATCGCATAGCAACCTAACAGGCAGCTGACATCGGCAGCGTGAGATTCCAAAACATTTTAGCGAGCGCTCAGGTCAAAACCGTGTACGAAAAAGGACGTCACAAATTAAAAAGGCCCCGCAGAGGGCTGGCCTGGAGACAAGCCCTTTCCCAGACGAAGCAGAAGACGGGCTTCAATGTACACGAGTGTCAGCGTGAAGTGTGGCTTCAGAAGTTCCCTGCATTTCCGATGGGTGCTCGGTCCTCCCGGGAGGGTGCGCAGCCCGGAGGCTGGCTGCTGTGGAGCAGCCTGAGGGGTGTCGGGGTGCCGGGCTGCTCCCACCTCACAGCTCGTCCTTCACAGCTTTCTGGTCATCGTCCTCCTCCAGGTCCGGCTCCTCTGCCTCCTCCAGATCTTCCAGATCCTGGGCGAGGGGGGAGGGAAGCCCGGAAGGTCAAGGTTCAAGCAGGGCCGGCCACCTGCCCGCTGGGGAGCTGGGTCCCAGCCCCAGACGACCCAGCACGGCCGCTGGGCGCAGTGCCCACCCTCCAGCCTCAGGGTTTGCGGGGCAGTCAGCCCAGGACCGCAGCAGCACGAGCTGCCGGCTCGCCTGCCCCTTTCCCTGGCCTGACCACACCCCCTCGCCCTGCCAGTCAGCAGCCTCCAGCCGCCACACCCTCTTGGCCTGGGACCAACTCTGGCGTCCCCTCTGCACGCGGAGCACGGCTGACAGGGCCCTCGGCCAACGACTGGGGAGCCCTTTGGCGTCCCCATCAGCAGGGACCACGCGAGACAAGCGGGCAGACTTCACAGGCAAGCCCGGCAGCA